TTTAATCAATATTTGTGATATTAAACAAGCCTTGTCATTTTCGTCAAATTTAATCATCTGTTTTTTCACTTTATTCACATCACATCGTATTGTTCAGAATGTCAAATTCAGATATGATCGATCCGTACAACGTCGATGTATATGTGGTTGATCTTCGTAGCTGGTTAGAAAAACAAAATCCGATTTTGAAATCGTTGGAGACTAACGAGTTTTTACTAAGATTTCTGCGTATATCAAAATTTAATCTTGAAAATGCTAAGAGATTATTAATTAACTTTTGGCGTTATAGAACGGAAAATCCACAGTGGTAAGTAAAGGAGTGCCTCACAGTCAGGAGTACAAAATGGCAGTGAAATTTAAACTGTAGGTTCAAAGACCGTGATCCCAAATCACCAGTGATGGCTGAAATAGCTGAAACTGCTTATGCCGTACAGCTGCCTCATTCGACAGTCGACAATTGTCTAATATTCATCATGCGGATTGGACACTACAATTCAGAAAAGCATACATTTGATCAGGTCACTAAATATGCGTTGGGTGTCACCGATGTTTTGAATAAACAACCGGAAGCTCAATTATATGGCTTTGTTATAATATTAGATTTCACTGATTTTCGAATGCATCATATCACCATTTTTACGCCTGATGTAGCAAGACGTTATGTTGAATGTTGGCAAAACTTGTACCCCGTTCGACTGAGACAAGTACACTTCTACAATTATCCAGCAATATTTGACCCAATCTTCTACCTATTTCGTCCAATATTAAAGACAAAAATCTGTGAACAAATTCATTTCCACAGTGGTAGTAATGCGTCGAACACATTACACAAATATGTGCCTCCTGATCTGTTACCAACGGAGTTTGGTGGCGTACTTGGCACAATAGAAGACATTAACAAACCATTCATCCAATGGATTAAAGAAAATTCTGCTTACATTAACAGTTTGGATCAATATGGAATTGATTTATCGTCGTTAAACAAACTAATGCAGGATAGTAAACTCGACGATTGTGAAAGTTATGTTGAAACAGATATTTAACATTGGCTGGCTGTCACTAAAACTGTATATGTTGTATCTCATTTATTCATATGTTGTTTTAGCGTTGCTGTTTTATTTTGCAGTCGAAGGACTAATATGTATATAAAGAATATAAAATTGTTAGGTGTCGACAAAGAACTCAATTTATAGTATTTTATAGTAACGTATGACTTCTTAGTTGTCATTTCTGATGTAGTTTATCAATCGCGTGTTTGGCTTCAAAGTCTGTTTTGTCACGTTCGACGACTGTTATTTTTTTTTGAAAAAGCAAAAAGTATCAGGTTCCATTCAACTTGTTTTGTAACGAAAAACGTATGTAAATTAAAAACTAAATTCTCTAAACAAGATTAACTTTTGCTCGACTTATTACTCCTGTAATTATTTTCGAAATAAATAAATCTGAGTTTCCATATCTTCCGTATGATTCTCATTAATTATAGTCAATTTCTGTGGCTATATCAAAAATCTGGAAAACCTTTCTCAAAATATACAAATACATAATCGCTTAATTTAATTTGTCCTTCCTGTTCCTATACTAAAAACATAGTTCATAAACTCAAATAATAGCCTAAATACAATGAACTTTTGATTCTACGGACAGTTTACTGTTCCATATTTCTATAATTAAGACGACCTTTGTTCGCTGTGTGTTTTTTTCAGACATCACATGTTTGAAAATTGACTCTTCCAATAACTAATGGCGGTAAAACTGCTTGTACAGATTTCAATTCTTCATAAGAATCATTCACTCAAGATACAGTTTTATCCTCCAGGAAGATTATTCACGATTTTGAATAAAATTACCGATAAATTCGATTTCCTTTATTAGTTGGTCTTCTTCTAGCAGAAAACTGTGCGGCAGTTCGAACTGAGTCACTATAGAAGTACAGAGGCATACATGTACGGAAAAAGCTAACGCCGATTATTTTCGATTAATTGGAAAATTGCTAAAAAATCGCCGATTCGGTCCACTGAAAAATTTTCGCTGAGTAAGCTTTTTATACAAAATTTCACTGCTGCAAAAAATATTATTTTAAATTATTCGGGGGGTTATCCGCCGGACCTCCCCCCGCTCGGACCACTTCTGTACACGATTAATTTAAGCTTTTCTCGTGATTTTCACTATCTGAGAACTAACTTACAGCGGACGTCATTTATCCGTTTCTTTAACAACTACTCGAGATTGTCGTACCAAAACTCTTACATTGAAAACATGAACACAGTATTAAGTACGAAATCAGAATCATTAGCGAGTACTTTGAGTCGTGAATAGATTCTTAGTGTGTCATGATCCTCTTTATATGGCAAATAAAGT